GTACATGGCAGCGCACAACTTGGTGAATTAGCATTTCGTGCGTCTGTGTGAGCACATTCACCGTATCCACTTTCTTTTCATATTTGTTTTCCACCGGTAGTGGAGTATTCTACGCGCCGCACGCGTCTTCTGTCGTGTTTCCGGCGAAAGGAAATCAGAGAATGGGGCGCGCCCGCCCATAATTATATGATCGCCTTTTGCTACACGGGGCACGACGGGCCGTGCCTCGCCGCCTTCCTTGTCGCACACGTCAGAGCCGGCCTGACCCCGTAATAGAGCCGCGGATTCGACGCCGCCCCGCGGGACATGTAGGTGGGCAGGCGGGGTCTAGGCTAAGGGGGTGGAAACCGCCGGAAGCGAGCTGTGCAGGAGCTGTGCCGCGTCTCTAGAATACAGCTTTAATGTCGTCAAGGCTCCCCTCTGCCACGTGCCCCATCTTGCGCCGCAGCTCAAAGTTATGTTGAAACTTAACAAACGCGCGCGCACCAGAAAGAAGGAAGCGCGAAGAATATTCTTAAGAATGAGACATTCGCGCGACAAGTTGCTCGGGCATGGGGTCGGCGTCAGTCCTGCTTTTGCTCTTTCCAAGCTAGACAGCCAGCCGGATATATAACTTTCTACAATGCTGATTTTCTGTAAATGCATGGTGACGACGTACTCCTTTCTTATTAACTTGGTTGTAGAGTACGGCACATGCATCCTACATACAAGATACTGTGTAGAATCTGATCAGTGAAAATAAAGCTACATTTAATGAAGTAAGTGTGCAACTGGCATGCACATTGTGGTGTTCAACTTTATGGTGCACGTGCATACTTTTAGGTTTTGGACTGAAAATTTGAATACTTAAGTGGTTAATAGTAACTTTGAACAAGGCTTCAAAGCCATGTGGACAACCCTGAAGTTAAACACTTTCAAGTGCGAAACTTCACTGTTAAACATTTTGTTTTCAAATGTCCAACGGAGTGATGAGCACTTGCATGGCATATGCACACCACTTGCACACTTTATTTATCAGAGAAGTTCTTCCTACCTTCCAATCGTGCAAAACTTATTCGGTTGCAAAGAAATTAAAGCATACCAAATACAGTTCAGTTCAGTTTCAAAATTTTTCACTGTGCCCGTATTGGTGCCATGTTTTGATGTAGACACTGAAGTAACGACTCCCCCGCAACACGCGTGCCCATTTTTACGTACTACTTGTTTATCAGACGCGCCCCGTAAACGGTCGATTTAAGAAGTAATTTCCTTATCTAAGTGCCGCATGACGTTGGGGCGAGGTGCGACGCCACACAGACACCTCATCAATATTCATACTGGCCTGCCTGCCGGGCCATTTGCATGGCTGCCGGGAAGTGACCGCAGGGTCCAGGCCCGGGGGGCGAACCCGGGGGCAGCCACGCCTTAGAAAGTGCCGACGGGGGCTGCACGATGGCCGATCGGGCGAGGAAAATACTGCGCCAAACTTGAACCAGCCACTCTGTGACATAAGTAAGGAATCAATAGTACGTGGCCCATCCAAGCTTCAGGTTCCATGCAGTGTGTCATACCCCGCCCCTCCTCCTCATTCCCTCCTTTTACTCCCTATTGAATATCGGTCTGGAACCTAAGCCTTTCAGTCATTTGCGTTTCACACGTTGAAGGCTTGGTGCGTTGCCTCCCTTGGAGTGACTCGTGTTTGAGCTTTGCTGCGAGAAGGGTGGTCCTTTTGTCCGCGCCGGGTGCCGGGGAGCGAGACGTGAACTTGTGCCGGGAGCTGTCAGCGGCGCACGTCCGTTTAATTGAACTGGCTCGCTAATTCGGAATACATGGTGCGCCTAGCCCGGCGGGACGCCCGGCCGCCGGTCCGGTCCGCCTGGTGAATGGCGAGGGGCCCTCCTACTGGCTTACTCCATTCACTCTCCCGGGAGAAAGAGGCGCTAGTGGAGGGGGGCCTGAGAGCGGGACCGCCACGCCTCGGCTGGGCACCGCACTGAGTGACCTTGAGCTCAGCTGACGATCGGCGTGTACGGAGCGGTAACGGTTGTGCGCGCGGCGGGTCCAGCGGGCGGACAAGCGCGCGCCATAAACCTTACAGCCTTTTCACTGCCACCAATTTATAGTATACGGAAAGAAGAGAGGGAAGGGGGGCGACGCTGATCGTCCTATCGCTAGTGCAGCCCCTGGAAGATTGAGTATCTGGAAACGCTTTTTTCAGTTCTTCTCTTGACTTTTGATTCGACGGTTGTACAAGCACTGCTCAAAGCGGAGCATTAGACGTGCCAAAAGAAGTCAATTCTTGGTTCAAGTTTATTTGTACTCTGGTTTCCTCTTAAAATGAAGTAAAAAAAATGAGATTACTCACATTCGAATAGGCATATTGTTATTTTTCACACTGTTTCAAGTTTAAAAAAAAAAAAAACTTGCGCAAACCTGAGTACCAATCTTGAAACGAGGAATTTACTGACAATATCAACTTTTTTTTCTGCATGTGCCTGCCCCTCTCGGATTCTGTTACTTGGTAAGGAAGTTTTGGCGGGCAGTAGGGCAGTGTAAAGGCCGCAGAAGAGCCGGCTCATCTTCACTCGCCCCGGGCTGTGGCCCCGTCCCACATGCAAGGATTGGAGTGGGGGCCGAATGGGTGGCCTAAGTGCGCGGCGCAGCGAGCGCGGGGCAGCGAGCGCCCTCGAGGTATAGACCACCCACTGCACGTTTGGGCACCGGGCGGCCTGCGCTCTGCGCGTAAAGCACAGCCCCGTCCTATTTTGGGAATGCCCGTCCAACCTTCACTTTTTAAGTTTCCACTTTTCTGACGTTTGTGTATGTTTCAGGCGCGGGGGAGGGGGCTGCTGGTGGCCCTTAGTGTCATCGCAGTGGTCGTCGGCGCACAAGAATACCAGCATCGGGGTGTGGAGCGGTCCGAGGACTTGGACAGCATTCTGAACATCGAGGATGACGACAAGAAGCAGTACCTCGATCAGAATTTTAATGCCAGTCAGTTTTGATTTCTACTTTTACGTTTTGTCCTTATCCACAATGAAACTTTAAAAATCAAATTAATATGTTTAAAATATACGTTTTCTCTTCACAGACTTTTTTTGCTTTTCATACAGAATTCACTGTTAAAGGCCTATCTACTACGATCGTTTTGGCTTCGCTAATATATATTTTATTTTATATAAGTAGAGAGTGGAGATAATTTTTTCATTAATTTAAGGGGTTTTCGTGGACGATCGTCTCCGCACGTTTCCGTGGTTAAGTAAAATCCTTGCCGCCATCGCCATGTTTGTTTGGCGTTGCCGCCATGCTCATTGGCTAGTTCGTACTTGGAACACTAGGTACACTAAGAATTTTTAGTTCAGCCATGGAATGATCGTAAATGCTACCATACGAACCAATGCTACGGAAAATTTACATTAAACTAAGTAAAACGATAGTAAAATAGCGTTTAGAAGATAATATGAAGTAAAAAGCAGTAATGAATTATGCTGTAAAAGTCCTTTGCTATATCCGAATGGCCTCCGTAGTAGTTTGTTTAAAAAACGGCAAAGTCTGCGCCATCAAATCATGTATTCAACTTAGAACCACCTCAAAAATAGAAAAGAAAGTCCTGTGGAAATTTCCAAAGGCAGTTATGATTGAATCATAATGAAATCCCAACAAACTTTAGGCAGTATTGTTATTTCACAAGATCCACGCTTAGTAAGGTCTAAAAAGTAGTATTTTTGTAGTAGTTTCACCCAATTTTAGGTGACAGACCTGGAAAATGGGAGGGTTTTGGGGGAATTTCACTACATAAAAATCAATATAAACTACAAGCCGCATCGATTTAGGACTAAGGGTGTATTCAGCTAGACGTTAATTTTTCTGTTGGCACCGGTGCGCGCACCCTCCAGGAAGGTGCCGATCCTTGCCTTCATCTGGACCGATGCCGACCTTTTCGGTGTGCACGACTGTAGCGCAACGGATGAGTACATTTTTTTACAATCGTGCACACCGAAAAGGACAGCATCGTTCCAGTCGAAGGCAAAGATCGGCATGTTCCTGGAGAGTACGCGCACCGACGCCGGCAATATTAACGTGTATGCTCTCAATACACCTTTAGTCCTAAATAAATGCGGCTTGTAGTTTTCATGTGGTGACGATTCTCCTAAACCCTTCCATTTCACAGGTCTGCCCCCTAAACAAAACGTTTATTAATTAAAGTGTACAAGTCGTGTATATTTTATGTAAAGTATATAATGTACACATTTAAATTGGCGGTAATATGCGCGTTTGTTAACTCAACTGTTGTGTCGATTCTTTTTGTCGCAGGCACATACGATTTTGGTTACGAAATCGGTCCTAGTGGCCAATTTCATCACGAGGACAAGGGTCCGGACGGCATCGTGTACGGATGCTACGGATACGTGGACCCTTTCGGCAAGCTCTCCGTGACGCACTACCTGTCAGACGGCTGGGGCTACCGCACCGTCACACCAGGACAGGCAGTGGAGCTGTTCCTCCATCCTCACGACCCTAGTCACCACCACGAGGAGCACGGAGACAATGGCGACCACGACGATCACCACAACCATCATGACCACCACGGCGTTATTACCCCGTACGCTCAACTTCATTTCCCTAAGGGATGCGGAGTGAAAGGAAACGCGCCCCAGGCTCGGCCTCCTCAGAGCGGCGCTGCCAACTCAGAAGCCTTGGGCACAATCGGCCAGAGGCCACAAGGAGGTTCGTCACCAGTTGACAACAACCAAATAGGAGAGGGGCCAGGGAATTATGGGCCAATTCCAGTATCTCAAAGACCATCCCGCCCAGCTGGTGCTACTCAAGCTCCGACAGGATCAGGCTCATACGGACAAACTGGACAGTCAGGACCCCAAGTCGGTTCATCGGGACCGGACGGACCCTTTGGATCAAACGGACCCACAGGACCCAACGGACCCACAGGACCCAACGGCCCGAACGCACCCAATGGACCTAGCGGGCCGAATGGACCAAATGGGCCATTTGGTCCAAGTGGTCCCAACGGACCCTCTGGTCCAATTGGATCCAACGGTCCCTTTGGGCCAAATGGTCCGAACGGTCCCTTTGGGTCAAATGGACCAAACGGGCCATCAGGGCCAAATGGACCGAATGGGCCATCAGGGCCAAATGGACCGAACGGGCCATCTGGACCAATCGGACCGTTTGGGCCAAGTCAAGCAACACAAGGCTCTCAGCGCCCTCCGGCTGGATCCAACTCGCAAGGGCCCGACGCGTACCCCGGGCCTGAAGGACCAGATGACGATAATCAGACACCTGTTGCCCCAGACGGCGACTACGGTCAGCGACCAAGTCCGAGACCCCCTCGCCCAGGGTCCGCTTCCCAACAGGGCTATCCATCCACGCCTCAGAGGCCAGGACCTTACAACCCAAGTGGAGAGTCATCGCAGTCGTGTGGGCCAGGCACCGGTTTTCCGTGCAGTTCTACAGGGTTGCCCGGGCAGTCGCCTTTTGGCCCTGCTCAGCCCATGAGGCCATCAACAGGGTACCCGTCTCAGCCACCAGCATACCCCAGCAGCCCAGCGTACCCTTCTACCCCAGCTCGACCCACGTACCAGCAATCATGCGGGCGGCCAGGATCTCCGGGTTGCGAAGCCTCAACACCAAGCCAGTCCACACCTTCTGGGTACCCGTCAAGACCAACAAATCCTGCCTCGCCGTTTGGATTTTCAACTACGCCCAGGCCATCACCCCCCGATTCAAGCAACCCTTCTGAATCTTCGTCTGCGCCGGCATACCCTACTCGGCCGCCAAACCCCTTCTCCCCATCTGCGCCATCTGGCCCTGGTGGGTATCCGACCAGGCCCTCTTCGTCTCCATCACGACCTACAACATCGCCTTTTGGATCAACTCAGCCCAATGGTTATCCGAGCAGTCCTCCGCCGTTTGCATCGTCTTCCTCGCCATCGCGTCCTTCAAATGGTTATCCCAGCGGTCCGTCGTCGCCATCACAGCCACCGCGTCCATCGAATGGTTATCCCAGTGGGCCGTCGCAACCATCGCAGCCATCGCGTCCACCAAGCGGGTACCCGAATGGGCCATCGCAGACATCGCGTCCACAAAGTGGATATCCCAATGGACCATCACAGCCATCAAGTAATTATCCCAGTGGGCCGTCACAGCCACCGCAAGCATCGCGTCCACAAAGTGGTTATCCCAGTCGGCCCTCGCAGACCTCTCGTCCATCAAGTGGATACCCCAGTGCGCCAGTATCGCAACCCCCACAGCCATCGAGTCCAACAAGTGGTTATCCAAGTGGGCCGTCGCAGCCATCAAGTGGTTATCCCAGCGGGCCGGCCCCACCGTCGCGTCCGTCAAGTGGTTACCCCAACGGACCGTCACCGCCATCGCAGCCATCGCGTCCATCAAGTAGCTATCCTAGTAGCCCTTCGCCGTTTGAATCAACTTCCTCGCAGCCATCCCAGCCGTCGAGTGGCTACCCTAGTGGACCATCAGCACCCGCACAGCCATCGCGTCCGCCTACTAGTTATCCAAGCGCGCCGTCTTCACCTTCTCAGCCATCAGTGCCATTTAATGGTTATCCCAACGGTCCGCCATCGCCTTCGCAACCATCACGCCCACAACCTGCTAGGCCATTAGGCCCAACACCGTCACCGTTTGGACCTACACGTCCGTCGAGCGTAACTCCGGCTCAACCATCACGACCGTCTGGTGGATACCCGAGCGGTCCATCGTCACCCTCGCCATTTGAAACGAACTCACCAGAAGAGCCGTCCGGTCCGTCGGGGCCTTCGTCACCTTACCCCAGCGGCCCGTCATCGCAGTTCCCGTACTCACCCTCACCGTTTACCCCAGCCTCACAAACTAAGCCTTCCTCCTCCCGTCCGTCTTACCCGAGTGGACCGTCAAATTATCCGTCCACGCCTTCTGGATTCCCTTCGTCTACACAGGCCCCTCCGCTACCTCAGAGTACCCAGAGGCCTTCATTCCCGTCTCGACCATCTACTGAATATCCGAGCGGGCCTAGCTCCAGCGCATATCCCACTGGGCCGGCGCAGCCCTCTGGTTACCCGGTACAACCTTTAGTGCCTTCCCGCCCATCTGTTTACCCCACAGAGGGTCCTGCAGGAGCAAACACGCCGCCTTCTTATCCCTCGGGCCCTTCTTCTCCGTCCTCGTCTTCTCCATTCGGTCCTAGTTCTCCAGCATCTTCCCAACCACCAGCAAGGCCATCTGGTTATCCCAGTGGCACGCAGGCCCCGCGGCCAGGGCAACAACCTTCTCGCCCTGCCTCAGGCTACCCCGGCTCTTCTCCTTCCACCCCTTCACCGTTCTTACCGCCGTCGCCTTCCGCAGTGTACCCAATCAGACCTTCAGGAGCCCAACCAAGCAGCCCGTCATGTGGTCAAACGCCTTTCGGATCGCTGTGCCCATCCGAACAAACACGGCCTCCTAGCAGCGAGTCAACTCCGTCCCGACCCTTCCCACAACGCCCGTCCAGCCCTGCTCCGTATCCGTCGTCGCCCTTACCCTCGCCAGGTCAGGGCTGCAGCTCTTCGGGTAGTTACAATTGCAGACCGACCTCAGGCACGCCCAGTGCACCTGGAAGACCCTCATTTGGCCAACCATCTCGCCCTGCAGTTCCTTCTGGCTATCCCAGTGCACCTGGAAACTCGGCCTGTGGCACAGCGGCTAACCCCTGTGTATCGGCACCAGCAGGTAATCCTTTCACGTCCCCACCGCGCCCTGCAGGATACCCCACACAGCCATCAACATCAGTGCCCCTAGGACCTTCAACTTCATACCAGCCAACCCCTTCTGCTGGATACCCGACCAGACCGACCTTCCAGCCGTCTTACACGAACAGACCCGGCTCCGGATACCCATCTGAAACACCAACCCGCCCACAACCCGCCCGGCCAACAGCTGGACCTCAGTATCCTATCCAGCCTCAAGAAGAGAATCCCGGTCAGCCCTCTGAACCGAGCTCACCCGGCCAGTCACCTTTCCAGCCAGGGTCGTCTGGATACCCTACCTTGCCGCCTTTTCCATCTCCATCCAGGCCTGCAAGTGGATACCCATCGAGCCCGTCTTCTACCCAGTATCCATCGGCGTTCACTAAACCGGTGAGGCCTGCAACTGGATATCCCAGCACTCCATCCAGCGGGTACCCGTCTGGACCGGCCCAGCCAGCGTATCCCTCATCTACGTCCCAGCCCGAGGAACAACAACCACAACAGCCTGACGCCGGACTTGAGTCGCCTGCGTCACCACCAAGGCCTTTTTACCCATCCTCGACGCCTGCCTACTCAAAACCGACTAGCACAGGTCAGTCAATTTATTTCATCTTTACTATTTTCGTTAAGAATTTATTTAAACATTAACATTTGCATGATTGCCCGTTCAGGTTCAAGCTGCAGCGATTCGTCCGGTTTCGGGCCTGCGGCTGGAGAAGGGTGCAGTCCGTCTGGCCAGCCCTACGAAACGTCTAAGCCGGTTGGTTTCACCCGTCCGCCCGGCTCCACGTACCCTGACTACTCGCAGTCGGGCTACCCTGACGGACGGCCACCAGCAGGATCAGCGAGTTTCGCTGAAGATCCCCGTCCGGGCCGCCCCTCGTCCGCTGCTCCGTTCAGACCAACCCCTGCACCCATTCAACAGTCTTACCGACCGACCACCCCGTCCCCTCTTCCACCGCAGCAGACGAGACCAACTTCCACACCACCGTTTTCGGGCTACCCGTCCAGCACTACGCCTAGTTCGAAACCAGTGGAACCTAGTTATCAGCAGCCTTTGAGCCCTGCTAGTGGTTTTCCGTCTTATCAGACAAGTGGCTCGACTCAGGCCCCTTTACAGCCTGAAATAGTTCCCACAAGCCAGTTTTCGTCTCCCCTAAAACCATCTCCCGGTGGGGAAGATCAATCTAACTACCCCGAGACAGGCACCGGTTCTAACGCAGAGTATGGGCCAGAGGAACCCTCAGGGTCTGCTTACCCGGCGAAGCCATTTGCTGGCCAACCAATAAGCCAAGTGACATACAAGCCTAGCTTCCCTCTGACACCCTCATCGGTAGGTCCTAGCCTACCAGACAGTCCCGACGAAAACGCCATTACAGAGCACCCAGATGAACTCCTTCAAGGAAGTCACTCCCCTGACAAAAAACCATATCCCGTTTATGTCATTCCATTCCCTGTAAATATAGTGCCGAGTCCATCTTCTTGCCCTTGCTATTTAGTTACACCAGGCAATCAGAGCTCCAATAGTTCTCCACCTCAGGCCGTTTCACAGATCCCACCTGTTCCGGCGTACAGTGGCCAAGGCCAACCGTACGGTATTATTGGTTACATCCCTGTAGTTTTCTATCCATACTGCCCTGGAAACGAGACGAACCACGAGGCCATTCAGCCTATGTTCCCATCCGCTGTGTCAGTACCTTATCCATGCAATCAGTGCCAAAACCCTTCGCCAGCCCCGCCGACCGAATCACGGCAACAGCTTGCATACGGCCAAAGGATGAGTTACCAGCCGAGAGGACAAGCTAGATCCCGCCGCTACCAGCAGCAAAACCAACAAAACTCATTTCAACAAGTAATGAATCAGGCTAATATTGATATGACAGGTATTGCCCGCGCGCCTCACCGGAGAAAGGTAGCTTATGGGCGGAGAATCCGATCAAAGAAGGTTAATAGGGATTCGGCGTAATAGAAATAACACGCAGTTAATTTAGTGTACTTGAAAGTGATTCAAATGTGCCACAACAAAGTAGAATAGATATTGTAAAATTGCTACCTCCTTCCTTGTAAACAAAATGTATCCGAAGAAAGTAGAGGTCGCCTCGTAACCTTCTGATTTAAGTTTGTTATCGTGTTTCTCATAGCTTTAAGTCGTCGCTCATTCAGTCTACAGATATTCAACATGTACTGCGACTGACGATTTAGTCTGTTTAGCAGCAGTGTGAAAGAATGTCAATGATATTAGCCTGGTAGTAATTGTGATGGCTTTCTGCGTAAAGTGTTAACGGTATCTTATCATGATTAGGTCTGGACACGGCATTCAGAACGAATTTTATGAGATGGCTATGCCGTTCTATACATTATTATAATTTTGTAGATCGACACTTTTAACGCAACCAGGAAAACATGTGTCGGTTCATAGATTTACTGCTATATCCGATGATTAATTATTTCGGTTGAAACTCTTAGGATGCTCTTTTTTTTTTTTCAAAAAAAAACAAACAAGTGGTACCCCGCGTCAAAACCTACGTTTTTTTTTACTTTTACGCCATGTAGCTTTTCACGGTAAAAACAACGTCCAGGTTTTCAAGAAGGTTTGGAAAAACACAACGTTGTCATGTATTTTATTTTAATCATTGGGGTCGGTTGGCTGCTTGGAAACCTGGACGTCGGTTTTGCCGTGCTCATATAGAGTTTTATATTATTTATAAGATTTAAAGAGGTGTACGGATGAAGGGGATAAAGAACTTTTTGCTGTTCAAACGGTCTTTTGTGCTTAAACATGTTCGTCTTAGAACACATTAAGTGACTTTGGCATGTAGAAGGCCGTTATGCCTTCTAGACGTCGAATGAACTTGTGTTCTAATTGGAATGTGTTCCACCGTGAATGGAATCAAGTTCATTTCGAACGCCCGTCCTTCAGTTGTATGGCTTGTATTCTGGAACACGATATTTCACGATGGTGGATGTTTATCGATATTTCACCGTCAAACGTTTAAAATTGTTAAGCCATGTTAACTTTTGGATGGACGGACTACTTGCCTTAAAATATTTATTTAGCCAAACATTTATAGTGAATTCAATTGACTACGTCAGGATGGTATTTGTATCCTACTCATGTCGATGGCATATGTATTGATGTTGAATAAGAAACAAAAATATTCCTTTTATGAAATTGATGAAATCAATAAATTATTGAGACTGTTCCGCGAATCAAATATATTCTTGTCCTGTGCACCACATTCGTGTTTAAGAGGTTAAACAGAATTTCAGCAAAACTCTACAAGCACTTAGACGGCTCTCTTATCTGACTTCCACAGTATATTGGCTATACTTAACTCCGCGTTT